CTGAGTATCCTTCCAGTACCTGGCCATGTCGAGCCGGACCTTGAGGCGGAGGATAAGAGATGCACCCGTAGCCCTGGCTAGTAAGTAGGATTATCAGATTTATAAGTAGGGTAACGATAGTCTTATCTACTTATAACCTGAATTAAAGATTTATAAGTAAGGTAACGATAGTCATATCTACTTATAGCCTTATTTAAGGTACATATTTCCGTACTTAGTAAGTCCTCTAACATCCCGGGCTATGAACAATGCAATGTGGCATGACATAAGACAAGATCAGACGCGTCAGAATAATGAGATAACGTAAGATCACGTAAGACAAAGTAAAGATCCTACAGACGTTACATACTCACATCTGTACTACCTATATACTAGACACATAAAAGAGCCTTAGAGTAACCGAACCTCCAGACGCTTTGCACGAACAGCTGGGGTTTGGGTTACTGAATTCTTAGTAACGGGAAGGAAGCGGCGTGATTTGTTATAGACCTGTAGTATGGTAGCTTGAAATAATAAACTCCGAGCTGGAACTCAGAAGATACAAATGCCACCCCTTACGGTGCCTTATCATACTTACAATAATACAGAAACCCCTGCAAGAACCTAGGATGTGTCTTGTGCAGCGGCATTGATATCTAGGCCTTGAGATTCCAGCACATGAATGGGTCCGGGTCGACGCCTCCACGTTAGGACTGCCCTTCTTCGATTCTGATACCCTAATATGTTAGACTATGAACAAGCAGATCAGTGTGTACATAAATGAACATATGTATATATTGTGGTATTTACAATACTACATACACCCATGTATGCTCAAAATGATATGCTGTTGTATAGACTATACTATACTGTGTGCTTTAGTTTATACTCTAATATTCGCTCTGATCAACGCTATACTATTCACTAAAGTTTATTCAGCGGTACGATCTAAGCTATGACATACTTTAATGTCCCTGAACCATGAATGCTGTGTGGCCAGCCCTCTCAGGACGTCCGTGGAGAACCGCTGTCCATCTGGGATGCGCCGGGTAGAGGCTTGGTGAGCTTCTCAAACCTGTTGAAAAAGCAGCAGCTATGATTCTGTGATGACTGTGCTTCCATGCCATTCCTTGTCGTGTCCAGTTTTAATTATTGTTAATTCTGCTTCTTTCCAAGCTGTACGAATCTGCCTACTGTGCCGCTGACCAGTCGGTTCCTTTAATACATTCAGTGGTTACAAGTTGATTGGGTAGCGGATGATACTCACGCTGCTGTTCTGTTTGGCCCCATGCCACGTGGTTTTCGGCTTGGCTACTTCCAGCTCTAGATGCCTCAAGCGATGCACGATATTCTGTCCCTTACAGTTAAATCCGAAGTCGGGACGCTGGAATGTCTACAAGCATAGACTCCAAAGCAGCGACACCAAGTCGGCGAGCCCGTCATCTTACGGAGTTAACTTGTTTCTGACGTTTCTATAAACCTCTGATCTTGGACCCGGAATCATAATTCCAGTTTGATAAACCCTTGGGGTTATATTGCTGGACTTGTCTAAACCCTAGACCCCTAAACTCTGAACCCTAAACCCCTACACCTAAAACCCTGTCAAATTCCAAAACAAAACTTAGGATCTCCAGGGAGGCGGCCATGATGAGCTGCGCGGTGAGGCGCTGCCAAGACAGCACCTCGGTTTGAAGTGCTGTAGGTTTACTGTCTGGTTCTTGGTAGAGAATGGGGGAATGGATTATGGGGACGTGACTACTATTGGTGATTATGTAGGGACTACTAAAGGGATCCCCCCATTCCCTACTAAGCACCAAGGAGTCTAAGGGGTAGAGGTTCAGATAGAGTTAGGGTTCTGGCTTCCACTGATTCGCTTCTGAGGCGACGTCACTGTAGAAGACTGAGGTACGGATCTACTTACCTTTGGTTAGTAGGGAAAGGAGGAATGGGGTACAACTATGACTACTACGGTGGATGATATAAATCCTGCATTACCCTAAACTATGGGAATTATGGTATATTCCTTATTATGGGTAATGCAGGATTTTTTTTTATCATCAACCGTATTACTACCATTCTTTCATTCCCTACCAAAACCCTAAACCCTAAACCCTAAACCCCTAAACCCCTAAACCCCTAAACCCTAAACCCTAAACCCTAAACCCTAAACCCCTAAACCCCTAGACCGTGCCAGTCTAGGGTTTCCTGCTTCAATGCTTCGGCTTTTGGAGCGACCCCCCTTGTGGAAGCTGTGGGCTTCTGGAGTTTGAGCAGTACAGGTTTTTGCGCCCGTACACTCCAATATCTCTTGCCTGTGGATCCAAAAACCTACGTTTTTAAGGCTTAAACCCTCTAATTAAGGGGTCATAACCTACTATTTTGTAGGGTTTGGTGGTACAGGTAATTAAAGAAGGTACCTTGAATCATATTAAGGCTCCTGTCATAACTTAAGGCATACTCCTTGTAAAGGGATATTGGAGTCTCTGGGCGAGGTGTTAGGGATGGGATTCGGGTTTGAGGG